ATTTGCTATGGGTGCTCGTATAAGAGAATAGATGTGTTAAAATTCATCTAATAAACTCTAATTTCCAGCATATTTTATTATTTGTAATTTGTCAAAAGTACCCCTTTTAATATATGATAAAATAAATCATCAAAATCAAATCCCCTATTTTTCTCCCTATTATACTGCAAATCCGCAAATTAGAATTGCAAATCTCTTGATATCGATTTCTTCCTTGTTTCTTCAAAACCAAAATCTCCACAAATTCTGAAGCATTCCATAGGTTTGGGTGTCTGAGCGTTTGCAATTTACAAGGTAGTTTGCAGTTTCCCTTCATTCCGTTTTCATTCATTCGATTTGTTGTTTCCCAATTTGCCTTCGTGCCTCTTGCTGTTTAGAAATTGTTTGTTGTTCGGTAACAACTCAGGTTGTAAAAAACGCACCACCGCTACGAACGCCGCACCGCTGCCGCAGCCGCCGTGTCCGCTTATGACTCTGTAAAATGCAAATAGCAAACTAATAATTAAAACTTGTATTATTGAATTTAAAACAACGAACTACCTAAGAATTCGCCAAATACAAACAACAAACCGAACAAGTAAAAAAATCAGCATCATCTAATTACAAACAATAAAATGAAAGTATAATATGCAATATCTAAATGCAAATAATAAAAATAAAAATACAAAACAAAAATATCATACATATCATAAAAATGCAAAAAACAACAATAATATTATAAAAAATATTCTATCAATGCAAAAATTGCAATTTGCAGTTTGCAACAAAATCTACTGTTATCGGTTGCAATTTGCAGTTTATGTTTAATGCTGCAATTTGATTTTGTTGTTTCATTTTTTTGTTTTTTGCTATTTATTGAATCAACATCAATTAGAAATACAAACAAACATTATAAACTACTACACATAAATACAAAACGAGAAAAAAAAAAACTCATTTTGTGCAAGCAAGGAGCGATTTATGTTTGTTGTCTGCTTTTAACTCTTTCACCGAAAAATCATCTAACAATGTAAAGCTCCCATTTTTTTTCTTCCCTAACATAATCCAAAAGAATACGAATTCCAAAGGGAAAAAATTCAAACAGATGTAATCGAGAAAGGGTATAGAGAAAGAAAGAAGTTGATCGGAAGAAAAAAATGAAAAAGGTGTTGATCGAAAAGAAAAAAAATCAGAAGAAAAAAGCGAGCGACACGAGATGGAGAGGAAGAGGAAGATGAGGGATTATATAGGAAGAAAGATACGTAAGATTGGAGAGAGAGAGTGTGTGTGATATATGAGATTTGTTTTCTTATTAATTGAGGATGTTTATGTCCATATACTAATTGTTTTATTTTATTTATATTATTTTTTTTATAAAGGACCTATGCCTATATTCATCTAGCAACTAGGATCTCTACCTATATAAGTCCAGAATAAGGGGTGTCTAGCCAATTTCCCCTTTAATTAAAGAGTTTAGCAAACAAAAATGTGTATTCAAAATATTTGTAAAAGGAAAGCTTAGCAAAATAAACATTTTTATGGCATATATAACATATATATATATATATATATATATATATATATATATATATATATATATATATATATATATATATATATATATATATATATATTAGCAATAACCCCTCATCTAGTAAATGTAGTTAAGAAAACCCTCCTCTCAAAAATAATTAGAGAAAACCCCTTTTATTATTAACTTGGATAATTAATAAAGGTAATATCTCAATTATATCCTTACTCCTAACCCTAAATTTTAACATGTTATCTTACGTCGCTTCTCTTCTCTCTGCTCTATTCTCTCTTCTCTCGTCTCGTTCTTTCTTCTCTCTCTTTCTCTTTTTTTCTTTTTTTTTTCTTTTGCTCTCTCTCTCTCTCTCTCTCTATTTTTTTTCTCGATCTCCTTATTCTCTGCTCGATCAGAATTCGACCGGCATCGTTAAATAATGCTCCGACGAATTGGCGGACATATTGGGTGAAGAACCGCTGCAGCCATCAGAATTGGACACAACCCTTTTCTCGTTATGGATTGAACGAGAAGGACCCTTCCCATTTGAAATGTTTGTGGCAGGTTTCCAAGGGCAAACAACCATCCATAACTCCGACCAATTCCAGCCTCAGTTGCTTTTGTCTAGCTCGAAACCAGCTAGTGTTACCTGTTGCCTTGACTTTGCCTTCCATTGCATTAAAACAATTATAGATCAACTATGATTTTTGTCTATTTTATTGGTAAATAATAATCTTTTGTGACGGCTTGGGATACAGATGTGTGGTGTGGCGACGTTGTGGTGACGATGGGGAGGCAAATCTAGGGTTTTTTGATGGATCGGGAGGAGGACGACGCTTGTAGAGAAATTCGCGCAAGCTGGAACCTTAATCGATTATGTACATATTCAATAGTCGATTAAGCTAATCGACTATGATCTGGTAGTCGATTAAGATTGATCGGCTCCAAATTTTTTTTTTTTGGATTTTTTGTTTATTGATTCCAATTGTATAAATCAATTATAATGTTTGTATATTTTTTGTATTTTGTAAAATATGGTTTATTTTGCATTTATTTTGCATTTTTTTGCAATTGTGATTTATTATGTTTAGTAGTAGCAGATCATGGTTATCGAATCGGAAAATATCGGCGTATTGTTTTCCTCCGTGTATCGTATCGTATCGTATCGCATAATATTTAACCAACTATTAAAAATAATAAAATATATATATATATATATATATATATATATATATATATATATATATATATATATATATATATTTACATAATAGAAATACTATAAATATGTAAAATTTAATATTTTAAAGTAAAAAAGTTTCAAATTTCAACACTGTATTATAAAATAGGAAAAAAACATTATAGTTGCTCTTAAAATAACATTAACAAAGTTCAAATTTGAATTCCTAATTTTTAAAAGACTAACTCATAATCTTCAAGATCAATGTCACTTAAATCTTCTTCATCAACCAATGTCAAACGATTGTCTTCATCATCGTGTTCATTAATCTCTTCAATCAATTCTGAAAATCGCAAATACACCCCAACTAAGGTGAAAATTGAATCAATCACCACAAAATCAAGTAACCAACCTCAAATTAAGCAAATTCATCACTACAAACCCAAGGCTATAAGGACGAAAAAGTGTTGTAAATCGCGATTCCGTTCAAATTACGCAAAACTCAGTCAAACTCGCACTTGAATCGCAAAAAAATAACAAGAATCTATGAAAATTGAATTAGGATTGCCATAATAGTTTTTGAAGAAATTGAAGAGAGAAAGGTTGAATAGGTTTTGAAATCCGATTTTTAGTCCTCAAATTGTGAATCTTTTTTTTGGTTTTTAAATATTTTGACTAATATCGTAAACATCGTACCGTATCGTGATATGGCGATACGATAAGATATCCCACGATATTTACCGATATTTAAACATAGCCGATACAGAGTACGAGTTGTATCGTTTTGATTGGGACCGTATCGTATCGCGATATCTCGCGAGTTTAACTACTAGGGCAGATTCTTAATCGACTATGCTTCATCATAGTCGATTAATATATCTGATATAGAAAAAAAAATTAAAAAAAAATTGAAAAATTAAAAAATTTCCTTAATCGACTATGAATCATAGTCAATTAAGGTTAATCGACTATGCTCCATAGTCGATTCGACTATGCTGCATAATCGATCAAGGAAACTGATACATAAAATACATAAAAAAAACGAAAAAAAAAAAAAAAACGCTGAGCGCGTGACACAATGATAATATGGCGGGTGGGGACAAAGTTGGAATATATAATGGCTAAAAATGGGTGTGGCCTTTTCTCAAATGGAGAGAAATATTTTGGGCCTCTCTCCATTAAAAGAAGTAATGAGGAGGTTTTCTCAGTAATGATGGTGTTTTCTCAAAAGCCCATATATATATATATATTAATAAGTAGTCTTAAATCCTAATATAGTTACTTGAATTGAAGCTTGGGATTTATGGAGACGAGGGTTCTGCTAAAATACCAACGGTGCTGCTGCTAAATAGATAGATTCCTTCTTATTTCCAAATTGATATCAGATCTATTGCTTCGAATAAGCAAAATATTGTTTCAACACAGTTTGATTTTAGAGGGTTTATTGGATAAGAAATCGAATAATGAATGTTGAGAAAAACCAAGAAAATATAGAAAGAAATGTAACTTAGAATATTGAATAGCAAAATAAATATTGGATATAATAATTAGGCTGCGGCTATATGCAATACTCATTTCACTTGTGCAAGATCAAATTAAAGAAATATTCCAAAAGATTCTATTTTATTAAGATGGAATGACAAGTACGCCCATAAATTAAATTGGTTTTTTTTTTCTCATGTAAGACCAAATACAAATAATGAGAAAAAACAAAAATCGACACCAAGGTGTCGAAAAACTATGCTACAAATCGACACTTAAGCGTCGAATTTCATAGGTAAAAATCAACATTGATATGTCGAATTTATAGCACAAATTCAAATGTCGAATTTTATACCTCAAAATCGACATCTTAATGTCGAATTTTATACCTCAAAATCGACATCTAAATGTCGATTTTTACCTGTAAAATTCGACCTGTACATGTCGAATTCGTTTGCGCGGGATTTTTTTTGGGAAATCGATATTCTAGCTAAAAAAACCCATAAATGCATACATTCTTGGGTTCTTCCATCGTAGAATCTTCTATTTTGATGCCTTCTGACTCCATACTTGCCATCTTTGTAAGATTTGTTGAGTTTTGATGATTTTGAATTTCTAGGTTTTGTGGGTTAATGGAGGAGGAAGGAGAAAGGTCTTGTGGGTTTTGGAAGATGGAGAAGATGAAAGTTGGTCTTGTGGTTTTGTGGTCTTGTGATAGGGCTTTTTGTGTTTTTGAATTTTTGGTCTTGCATATTTGCAATTTTTTATTTTTTTAATAAATAAGGGTATTATAGTATTTATACATTGAAAATTTTAATTTGGTCTTGCACAAGTGGAATTATTCTTGCATATAGACGCAGCCTAATAATTATTTGGTTAGTATACACATGCATCTATCTTAATAGAGTAGATGAGTTTCAAAAGAAAACTGTAGAAACAAGCTAGCTAGCTGTACATGATGTTGTCGTAAACTGTAGCACCAAAAAACAATTTTAAGATGGGAGATAAACCCGCAGCTGATCTGCACTAGCTATGGCCAAAGCCCCCGATTCTGAAGTATCTGTGGTTATGTATGATACTTGACTACCTGAACGAACAGTTAAAAAATCGAGTCAATTAATTGGTTGAATACTAATTTCGCTCTTGTTGGCAAATTTTGACAAATAACATTTCTTGTAAGACCAAGAAAAACTTACCTTTAAAGGAATGTACGTTCCCAAGCTTCTCTCCGGTACATAACTCCCACAAATAAACAATTCCATCGTTCCCACCCACAACTCCATAACCAGCAGATGTGACGGCAGCCGCCATGCTGCAAGCAAGGATAATTATTATTATTATTATTACTTATTTTTTTGTGTTTATCATGAATCAAATTATATGGAAATAGAATAGAGAGCAGTAGATATATGAACCATCCATCGATAACAGTTCCAGTGATGACCAAGTTATTGACCAACAAAGCAAGGCTCCAACATGCAACTGGATTTGTTTCGAGTGAAAATGGATCAGGGGGTGTTGAAATGAGAAGCCACACGGCTACATCGCTATTCTTGCTTACTGCCGAAGAAAAGCTTTTATTCATGGGGTCGATTATGATGTCATTTACAATTGAATCTGTCTTTCTTTGCCATCTGAAAACACTGACAGGAACGCACTCCGAAACGGACAATCCTAGGCATGAGAACTTTGATACCAGGTTGCCCTTGTATATATCCCTGTACAAATACCATAAATAAGCCTTTTTTTTTTCTTTTACTTTAACATTTAAATACAAAACAAATTTAAATGGAAAATGAAACTACATACCATAAGCCAAACTCTCCAAACCCATTGTGGCCAACAACTAAGCTAGCAGACTTTGGAATTGTCTTCAACTCAATAATACTAGGAACTATCCAGTCAAATGTAGGCAAATGCCATTCGTCTTTCTGTCCGCTGAAAATTATGAATCAATAATTACAATAACTACCACATTTTATCTAAACAAAATGACCAACTTGTATCGACATTATTCTCACTGTTCAAAGCCTGGGATTCATTATTATTATTATGTTATATATATTAAAAAAAAAAAAAATTGACATGTAGTAATAGTCACCTCCATGCATAGTTCATGACCCACAACTTGAGGTTTCCATCCTCCTCGGCGGCAAGAAGAAAACTCGGTTCACAAACTAATAAACAGCATACATCCTTAGCTGTTTTCAGTTTTGTCACAACCGAAGCATACCCTCTTTTTAATCTAACAATTTTAACTGCATTTCTCTCATATATATCTGAAGTACAATCCCAACATGGACAATCCAATTTACCCTCCCTGATATTCGTAAAAAGTTAGTATTTCAATAACGAGGCAAAGCGAAGCTACATGAGATATAGAGACAGATAATTATTACCTACAACAAGGAGTTTTAATGTTGTTTAATAAAACGACTGATTGTGCATCGGGGGTTAATTGTAACATTGATCTACCCACAACAATCTGGAGAATGAATTCCACGTTAGTTGTGTAATATTATAAGCAAGTGACAAATAATATATTATGCATCATATGATTGAAATTTTCATCTTACATCTCTACCAAGTAAATCGTTTGAAATTTGCAAAGCTATTGGGGCATGACCAATTAATGAAGGGCACCCCATCTTCTCTCCATTCAGTAAGGCCTTGTGGAGAAAGAGGTTGCTCTCATTGTGGCACGAGTATCCGCATTTCACAAATATAAATATCTCATTATCTTTAACAATTAGTTGCACCAGTGAAATTGGCATCGGGTGGACATAGCATCCAAAAAGCTTGAAATTGGCATCGGGTTTGTTATTTAACTTCACTTTTTGCTGAATGTTGGACCTCGGCTCGTCATCCATCTCATTGTTCTGAAGGCATGAAAACGTAAACTTAAAATGAAATTGGTTCACAAGATATATATATATATATATATATATATATATATATATATATTATGCGTTCCTTACCTCAGACATGCAAACACTTTGTGATGCACGAACAGCAGGAACTTTATCTCCACAAGAGTAACCAATTTTGGATTGGTTGGAGTTGGCAATAATTTCCTTAGCAGGAGCTAAAACATAATATATGTCAGGCATGCTTTATCAGTAAATGGAGACTAATATATATATATATATATATATATATATATATATATATATATATATATATATATATTCTCGCTAATGGAAAAAGATGGTTTGAAATCCTAACAGAACATACAACAACTTTAGATATTAGCATTATTACTTAAAGCAGTCTGTCTTTCATACCATCTTCTGTAATTCCACTGTGGCAAAGTAATAGGTTTTCTTCTGCTTTGACATTGATCGGCAGCTGTGAAAATTCACCGTGAGAAATTCTCGGACCATTTTCTAAACAATCAGAATCTGATTTCCCTGAGGTGGAGACAACTGAATCTTGACGAGAACATTGAATCAATCCCCTTTCACTCTTTCTTTCCAAATCTGAGTGCAAAAATTTGTAACCAATTAAAATTTATTTTGCACAAGATTTGAAGAATTCACATACAGATGCAGTCATGCACTAAAGCAAATGACAAAGTCGAAAAGAAATTAATGGTAAAGATTTTGAAAAGTCAATGTAAAACACTTTACCTATGGTTGCATTAGACATACTAATGTCATATTCCACCTGAGATCCATGAATAGGGTTTTTTGAAGACTTTGCAGATTTACATTTCTTTCTAAATAATGATTTTTTAAGTAAAGGAACAGCTCGAGGAAGTAGAACTGTCATCATGGAATTGTCTAATTCTTGACCAAATAAATCAGTATCACACTTTTCTGAACAAGTGGATATTCCTATTTCATCTTCTTGAGGTGCTGAATCAGTGACAAAGAACTCAGACTCATCCACACCATTTACAATTTCATCTGAAACAAAAAAAAAAAAAAAGAAGCTGCAGAGAATCGAAAACTAGAGAAATTTGAGTTAAAGAGTGATTGCATGAGAATTATTAAGGTGCATAATACCTCCTCCAGCCTGATCGAAAGAGTCGGGTGCACATAGATCATCACCATTGACAACTGGCAGCAGGTCAATATGAGAATTACTAAATACACCTCTGTCTTCGCCATATCTTGACCTATCATCACTCTGTCATTAAGTATGCCAATCTAATAAGATTTCACACACTAACTTTGCATAAAGTTTCTCTCAGTCGGGACTCTATTATTTAAAATAATAAAAAAAAAAAAAAAAGACGAGAAAATATTGCTGGGAAAGTTACCGGTTCATTTTCTGGATGGGAAAGGGAACAACCTAGTTTGAGATGGTTAGTGATGTCGACTTGATCTGCATCAGCAAAAGTTGAAGAGCTGCTGACATTATTTGTGCATTTTTGTTGTTGATTGACACGAGTCTTACTGAGTTGTGTACTTGTAGCAAGTTTATCCTTCCTCTTTCTCTTTTCTTTAGCATGTGAAGAGCCACTTGATGGTGTGCATTCACTTGACAAGTTTGACACTTGTTCAGCAGTTCCACCAACGTTTACCACCAATTCTCTCAGTAATTTCTGAACAAATCTGTTTTTCAATCCAAACAACTGTAGATATATAGAGAGAAAGAGAGTTGTAATTATTAAGAAGCATATTGCCATGAAAAAACAATGAGTGAATTTGCATGAGGATTGAGGAGTGAATGTTGTGTTCTTGAAAAGAATGAGCAACGACATATCTAAAAACAATAAGGACAAGTAAACACAGATATGTTACGAAATTAATAAAAAGGGGGCGTGGGTGTACGGTGTACCTCGACTCCATCAATGTTGGTATGACACAACTTAGAATATAGTTTCTTCTGAAAGATCTCCCATGCCAGATTTGGAGTGTCCCCATGCCCGTAACAACACTTATTCTCATCATCATCAGAAGAAGAACAACTACTAATCTATAATAATAGTATTATTATTATTATTACTTTCAATAATAATGAGATAAATAAAAACGTGACAAATAAATAAATAAATAAATGGATGTACTGACCATAAATGAAGGGCCTTTGAGACCTTGGAGAATTTCCATTGTGTATCTCACTCCATTTTGAGTCCTCACTGATTTGTATCCAACTGGATATGGGTACCGCTCTTTACCCTGCAATAAGTGAAAAAATAAATTAGGATTTAACATATTCGAATCTCGGGGAGAGAGAGAGATAGAGAGAGATCGACCCTAGATGAGCTCCAATACTTGTTCTCCCATGGACCAGTGAACAGCTTTCCCACACATACTATTTCTATATCCTCCCATAATTCTTCCTTCTTTGTTTTCCCCATCTTTTCTCTATTTATTTTTCTCTCTCTATTTTTCTGGGGAGGGGCGATGCGATGCTGTTAATATGAGAGAGAGTGAGAGAGAGAGAGAGAGACAAAGGGCGGGAACTAAATGTGTCATTTCCCTCGAATTTATAGAGTTTATTGCGAATACCTATCGTGTCTCTCACGCGCTCCTGTTGAAATGTCTGAAATGCCCCCACCTCTCTTCTCTCTCTTTCTTTTTTTTTTTTTTCTTTCTTTCTTTCTTCTCTTATTCGCCCACCCACCGTTCATCTCCCTCAAGAACACGCCCCCAACCATGGCCACCATCTTCAATCTTCCGGCGGCCTATTTTGAGAAACCATGGCCCGAAAAATCAGATTGACCGCTGTCGCCGCACGAAGATGAAGACGGTGGTAGAATCATCATTTTTTGGGCCACCATTTCCGCCGCAGTATGGAAGAGTGACCAATCCACGATCGTTCCTGCTCCAATTTCAAACCGACGTCTAGCTTGCGGTTGTGGGCGGAGGATCTGCAAAATGTGGTGGTGGTGGGGTGGGAGCAGCGGCGGAGGGCTGTGACTTGGGAGAAATGATGGATGAAGTTGTGAGGTTGAGGTGGCTGGCTGGGGCGGGGTTGGGGATGGGCCTGGCCTGGGGGTGGTGGCAGACGGGATTTCTTTCTCTCCTTTTTCTTTCTTTTTTTTTTTTTTTTTTTTTTTTAATTATTATTATATTTAAAATTATTTATATTTATATTCGCCATAGTATTTTTATGATTACGGGTTTAATATAATTCACTCTCTATCCCTCTTTCTCTCTTGAAATAAATATTTTTGCGAAAAATAATTTTCACGACCAAATTGGACGTGCAAATGCCCGATTCATGCTCAAATCTTCCGCACCCGGTTTGGGCGCCTAAACAATTAAAAAAGAAAAAAAATATGCCCGATTCACTCTCAAATCGGGCGACCGGTTGGGTGCCTAACTCTCATTTCCGCGTCCGGTTTGGGTGCCTAAATAATAATATAAAAAAAAAAAAAAACATATATATGCTACTCGAACACAGGTCTAATGTGCAAAAGCCAAGTATCCTAACAAACTAGACTAACACGAATTTGATTCTCTTATACTAGTTAATTATTCTCATAGTATCCTAACAAACTAGACTAACACGAATTTGATTCTCTTATACTTAGTTAATTATCCTCATTTGTTGCATTTATCCTGGGTAAAAAATAATTTATTAACCCGTTGCTGAGACTTGAACCCGGGTCGCTCAAATGCGAGTTGAGTAACCTAACCAACTAGACTACAACATATTTAATATTTTATAGCTTTCTTTTAGTTTACTAGACAGGTGCACGTGCGTTGCACGTGTCGTATGAATTTTCCTATGTATTTCTTAGTTATGTATTGTGCTTACTTACCAAAATAATATCGGGTTTTTTGCAAGAACCACCCCTGTGTAATCTCTAATTGCTGAAAAACCCCTCGTGTTAAAAAAATTAGCAAGGACCCCCCTATGAAAGTTAGTCAAAGGCAATAAAGACCCTCTGAGCTCGACGTGAGATACACGCGCGGTTTGTGCGATTGGGCATTTGTTTTTGGACGAGAAAAGACCAAAATATCCTTTAAAAATATATTCCGCAAATTACAACTTCACCCCAAAATTACAGGCCCAAATTGAAAGTTTTCATATTTTTTAATCAAGTCCCTAATGTTTTCAGAAATGCCCTCTTCCTCACCATCCAACATTATTAAAAGTATCAACAGTCCAAAATTGAGAAGCGGAATCCCTACAATCCATCCACGATAGTTTGGTTTTCCATGATTTAGTTTGTGAAATGGAGAAATCATGAAAAAAAAAAACACAAAACACACACACACACACCAAAAATGGTAGACTTTGTTGCAATTTGCTTCCCCTCTCTGCAACTTCATCCATTTTGCTTCGATTCGCAAGCTTCTCACCATTGCAACCACTTATCTCTCGTTCCTAGACCGCAAGTGCCTGTGTAGTGGAAGGGACAGGGCTGATGGAAGGTGGTCTTTGGCTGGTGGCGGTCGTCGGCTGATGGTTGAGGCGAATATTTCGCCGATGGGCTAGGCGGTGATGAGGCCGGAGGACAAAATGGCGGAGATTCGGAAGGTGAGATGGAATCGATGGCGGTGGGTTTGGGAGTTGCAGCTGGGCATTATGACGGGGAAGAACATTATATATATTTTTCTTTTTTCTTATTGTTTTTTTTTGTTTGTTTTTTTTTTTGTTTTTCTTAATTTTGTTTACAGTAGATAAATTCATTGGGGGTAAAGTAGTAATTTTTTATAAGTCAACTGTCCATTTTAATATTAAGGGGCGATGTGCTTTGTTAAAAACAATATAGGGGGGTCTGTGCTAATTTTTATAACATGAGGACTTTTTCGCCCATTTGAAATTACACAGGGGCTTATATGCAATTAGCTCAAATAATATCATTAAATTTATGGAATGTAAAAGTATCATATTACATTGTTAATTTTTGTTAATAGAGTGCACATTTAATTAAATTCATATTATGTTTGATGAACAATTAACACTTATTTGTATTTGAGTTTTGTTAATAATAAACTTCTTTAGCCTTCATTTTTCGACCGTAACCAAAGTTTGAAACTGAGATCGAACAAAAAGTGGAACTAAAACTTGTTGGGTACTCGTTCGAAACAGTAATAACTCCTAACATGGAGTTGTATTGGCACATCAACGACTCAATCCGCAATTATCTAATTCACGTCTATAAATTCTGTTGACAGTGACTCCATTTGGTGTAAAGCACTCAGCTTGAAGCTTAATTCACCATACTCTACCAGTGATAAAACCCCCGAACCAACCCAGAAACTCGAGATCTGACTCACTAGCCTAAAACTTAAAAATTTTCTCTCGAACACACTCAGAACTCTCATTTTACATATCACGAAGACTGTATCTCTCACTCACAGAAGAATGAAGACAAAAAATGAAGGAAAATCATGCATTTGTATGTTACCCTCTCTCCGTCTCTACACCAAACATTTATACCTGAGACATAACGGTCATCAGCGGAAAACCGTATTAGAGTCAAAGTATGCCATAGTTGGTGGCGTTTGACTCTAAAATCGCCTGAAGAAGACAAGAAGAGAGAAAGCAGAAGGATTGAAGGTACATGGGGAAGAAGTACAGATGAGCTGAAGTCAAATTATGTATAGGGTAAATTATTTAAGGGACATGAGGGACGGACAAGATTGACTACTCAATACGGAAGGTGAGAATGGAAGTTCAGAAGCTTCTTCATAAACAAGGATTTAGTGAATGTGTGGGCCAACACCAGTAACGACACCAATTTTTACCACCGCCACTATTGAGCGCCTTTGATTTTATTTTATTTTTAAATTTCAGCGTTGACTTTTTTTTTTGAATAATTCTTTTTTGCTGCCGGTCATCGACAATGGATTGACGATTTACAACGTTCACTTTTTATTTTTCTTGATTTTTTTTACTTTGTTTGTTGATTTTTTTTTTCCCGTCAATACAGTATTATTAGTGTATAACACAATAATACTACTATATTAATATCTAGCACCGTAATATTAGAATTTCAAACTTCTAACAAAGTTTTAATCTAAAATTTTTGGACCAAAATAAATTAAAAAAAATTCTTACACTTCCCTATTTCTTCCTCTCAATTTTTTCTTCTTGGAACTGTCTACGCATGAATTCTTACAAACACTGGCCGTTGATATTTTTTTTCTTCTTAAATTTGTTCTCGTCGTTAAATGGAGTTGATATTTTCCTTTTCTTTTATTTTAAATTTTTTTTATATTATATTTTTCCCGCTACTCCACAATTTAAATAAAACGACAAAAGGGTCAACGCAATTAACACGACATTTACATCGGTCAATGGCGGCAAAAAAGAAAACCAGTCGAAAAAAAGTAAACCTAGTTAATAATAAAGTCAACATCGGAAAAAAAAAGTTTTTTTTCAAAAAAAAATCAACGGTGGTAAAAATCGGTCCATTGGTGAAGTTGGGGTTAAATTAGGGTGGATGAAATTTTAGAGGTTTTTAGAAAGTTTTAAAATAATACAGGGGTCTTGTTGCAATTTCCTCACACAAAATTCCCAATTCAACCCTAATTGAACCGTCGGCTGTTGCTTCTTGACGGTCAAACAGACAGAGGGACCTGGTTAAAATCGGTTAATTGGTGAGATTGAGTTTTGATGAAATTTTAGGGATTATTAGAAAGTTTTAAAATAATTCAGGGGTTTTTTGCGATTTCCTCACAGAATAATCACAAATTCAGCTCTAATTCAACCGTTGACTGTTGCTTCTTGACGATCAAACATGCAAAGGGAACCAATGTGTTAACATTTGATAAAATTAAAGTATGTTTTGTTGACAGCGGTAAATAGGGGACAAAAAGTGAAAAAACATGCAAACTTGGGGGACCAAAACTGTAATTATCCCCCTTGTAACCGATGGATTACCTATCCTCGTTCTTGAAAACCCCATCAGATCCGTCAATAATTAGTCCAAACAAAAAAAATTGAAATACGTGAAACTCCATCTTCTATTATGAAATTTTTAGTATAAATTACATGACTTTTTCCATATAAAAGGAAGTAGACGAAACATATGAAAGGTCACGTATGTAGAAAAAATGTTTTGCCATTCACATTAAATTATCATATTTAAACTTAACATGTTTTCGACTAATTATATATGATTATGAATTAATTATTCTCAACTTATATTACTTAATTGTCCTTCAAATAATACTTATTCAAAGGATATTTTAGTCAATACCAAAAATGGAAGAAACCACCTAAGATGCATACTTTTATAAGTAGTATAGATTAATTAAGTATAGCTTAATAAAAAAGTAATAACAAACCGAACGACCGGTCTTGATGCCGGTCAGGGAATTGCACGCCCAGAACGGTCGCCAAAACCATATTTCCACACGCCCGTTTGGGCGTGAAAACTATTTTCACACGCCCGTTTTGGGCGTGGAAATGACGCACACCAGCAACAAAAACAGCCCCGAAAACTATTAAAATGTTCGTTTTAATAATTAGAACAAGGATAGGAGAGCCTTCGAGTAGTTTTCACCGGATGAGCGTGTCAATTGCATGTGGTATCGTAGACATATAGATATCACCTTAGGTAGCCGTTTACGAGACTTGTTATTTAATGCTTTATTCATAATTGGTTTGCATAGACATATAGTGAATCGGTTATAAATAATAACTCATAGTACACGCGACAGCGGGTTATGAGTAATTTAGTATCTCGGGTTAATAATCAGGAATCGTAACTTGAATGATAGAGGTTTAATTGGGTATTGAATTACCGTATATGGGGAAGATAAAATCCTAGATCCGTTTTTATATTGATATTTTCTCTTGTTTATTTGCTTTCATAATTAGTTTAATTTATTAGTTGATTAAATTTGACAACCTTGCGTAGGGTGGATAAAAATCATAATTGTTAGAATTTGGTACTTAGGATTAGGTAATTTGAGTATTCCCTGTGGGATCGACATCCGACTCTCACGAGTCCACTTTTACTACTTGTTTGCGATACGTGCACTTGCGTGTTAGGTATTTAGCCCAACATTGCCCGTTCAATAAAGGCAAACATAATTAAAAAAACCCAAAAGAAGTAATATTCATATGGTTGATAGTATTATTACTGTCATCCAAATTAATATTACTGGAAAAATAATATTACTATAAAAACAATAATATTACTGCAACCACAGTAATATTTTTGTGTTTACAGTAATATTACAATAGTATATAGTAATAGTATTATGTTAATCACTCAACAAATCAAACAAAAACAAAGCAAAAAAAAAAAAAACAAAATTGATGTGGTTGACAGTAATATTATTGTTATTGTCAACAACAGTAATATAATTACGTTGACTTATCAACAAATCAAACAAAATAAAAAAATACCAAAATATAATAATATTGTTGTGGTTGACAGTAATTGTACTGTCGGTGACAGTGCAATTACGTAAATGTACTGCAACGACATTACAATTACGTAAATGTATTATCAACCAGACAACCACAGTATAATTATTGTGAATGACAGTAATATTACGATCAACATTCAGCAGCGATCGTAAAAAACCTAATAAAAAAACCACTAAAAAAAGTCAACGCCGGAGACCGGTGGTCAACGCCAGAAACCGGCGGCGGAAGAAAACAGACAAAAAAAAAAGGGAAAAAAAAGTCAATGCCGGAAACCGGAGGCAAAAAAAATATTTCAAAAAAAAAAGGTTAAAATAGAAAAAAGTCAAATTTAATTTTTGCGGTCAAAATTGATTCAATTATGAATGTCGTAAAATTGATTAATCGTAGCCTCGACGATCTGCCATCGGAGAAAAAATAAATGTCGAATGACAACTAATGTTGAAGTTAACTAATGTTGAGTGAGGTAATTAAACGGAGATCCGACAACCTGCCGCTAAAAAATGAAAAAAAAAAAGATATCAACCAATGTTAAAGTTAACTATTATTAATGTTAACTAATGTTGAGTCAACTAATCAGAGCTTCGATAACCCACCACCGGAAAAAATATTAAAAGAAGAAAAAATGGAATATCAAATGTTAACTAATGTTGAAGTTAATTAATGTTGAGTTAGATAATCGAAGCGTCGACGACCTAGGCAACTGCCGCCAAAAAAAAAAAAAATCAGGCCGGGCCAGAGAGGACCGACCTGGTGGGCGACTGGGAGGAGATGGGGATGGGTTGGGCTTATCTCAAATAAAAATAGGGGTTTTTATGCAAAAGTCCCCAACCAAGCATGTTTATTATTTTAGGTTTAGGGGACATATCCCTTTCACCAATAAGCCCATCTCTTTAATATTTATTATAACTAAAGGAAAAATTCATGTATATCCCAATATTACCCTCAACCATTTATACCCAATTCTTAATTGTAATCCCAATTTATCAATTTTGTCCACAAAAATTCAATTTTGACTTTTTTTTGGAGTATAATTTAATATGCTCCAATTTCATCCTTAACTTAATTTAATCTCAATTTGACCCCAAATTTCACAAATTACTCAATTTTGACCCAAAATTTTTTTTTTCAAAAAAATTTTTTTTTGCTGCCGCACCGCCGGTCTCCGGCGTTGACTTTTCATTTTTTTTTACTTTCTTCCGGATTTTTTTGCCGGTTTCCAGCGTTGACCAGCGGTCAACGGCGGTCTCCGACGTTGACTTTTTTTTTTCTTTTCTTCCGGATTTTTTCGCCGGTTTCCGGCGGTCTCCGGCGTTGACTTTTTTTAGTGTTTTTTTAAGTTTTTTTTTTTTTTTTTTTTTTTTTTTTTGGTTTGTTTTGTTTTTCCACGTCCGCCGCTAAACGTTGACCGTAATTGTGCTGTCACTGACAGTAAATTAACGTAATTATACTGTCAATGATTGTTAATTAACGTAATTGTACTGCCGTTGACAGTAAATTAATGCAATATTATTATTTTTATTTATTATTATTATTTTTTTATTTTGTTTGATTTGTTGACAAGTCAACGTAATTATATTACTGTCGTTGACAGTAAAATAACTGTAAACACAATAATATTGCTGTCAACAACATCAAATTTATTGTGTTTACAGTAATATTACAATAATAGACATAATATTATTACGTTACAGTAAAATTAACGTTGACCGTAATTGTGTTGTCACTGACAGTAAATTATTGTGTTTACAGTAATATTACAATAATAGACATAATATTAGTACTGTTGTTCTAGTAATATTTCTGTCAACCACATCAATATTATTTTTTATTTGGATTTTTTGTTTGTTTGAGTTATTCACGGAGTAACGTAATAATATTACTGTCTACTATTGTAATATTTCTGTTGCTATAGTAATATTACTGTCACTCAAAGTAATTTTAATTCTTTTGGTTTTTTTTTATTATGTTTACATTTGTTAAACGGACAACATAATAATATTACTTTATTACACAATAATAATGAGTTTTGTTGTGGCAATATTAATGTGCTAGAGATTAATATAGCAATATTACTGTGTTAAACTATAGTTTAGTTAATTTTACTGTGTTTAACAGTAATATACTTAATATTACTGTCATTCACAGCAATATTGCTGTTTAAACGGAAAACACAATTACAGAAAAAAAAAAAAAGTCAACGCCGGAGACTGGCGTTGACCGCCGGAATCCGGAAAAAAAATCCGGAAGAAAGAAATTTTTTTTATTAAAAAGTCAACGCCGGAGACCGGCGTTGACCACCAAATGTTTTTTTTTATTAAATGAATACCATAAAATCAAGTGTAGATTTAAGAAAATGGAAAAATGGAAGGAAACATATTGATCCGAATTTTGATTCTTACACAAAGTATCCCACAATAAAAGGTTCCAAATATTTTATTTAAATAAACTTAAAAAATATGTTTATATTCTCAAATCTTGGTATATGGCCAACTCAGTAGTTAGTATGCATAATTTTCATTTGAATAGTTTAAATAACGCAAGTAAATCAAATCATACAATGTCATGCAAACTGAATTTAGAAACAGAATATTATATATTTTAATTCATAATCCCCAATGTTTGAACATGGTAAGAGATATGGAAAAAAAAGATGTATATAAACATACATATTAGTTACTAAGATATTATATAGTACACAGATTAGAAGAAATGTTGAAAAGGGGCAAGAAGAGGGATGCCAGCAAGGCAAAGTCCGAAGGCGACGAACGTCCGAAGAAGATCACTTTGAATGCAGGGAATGAGTGGGAAAAGAATGTGATTTGCGAGCTGTCGAAGAAGCGGAAAGTGTTGGTGAGGAACTGGGATGGGAAGGCAGTGATGGATATTAGGGAGTTCTATTTGGAAGACGGAAAGGAATATCCTACCGGAAATGGTTTATCATTTTTCATGAATCAGTGGAAAATCCTTAGAGATCATGTCGATGAAATTGATAAGTTGATGATGGTTCATGGTGGCGACAACGACCAAATAATAGAACCTCGTTAGGATCGGATGTGTTTTTGTGTTTTCTTCCTCGGAAAGGAATGAATTTTATTCTTCTCGTTTAATTAATATCCGAATAATAACTTCCCATGCTTTTTGATAGTTTTGTTTTGCTTGCTCAGATTCCATGTTCGCGCCTACATCTAATATTAATAATTATGTGATTTCTCATTCTTTATTGCTTCCGCAGTCACAAAATGTGTGTTGTGTACATCATAAAGTTGGTTTAAAACTTTAAATAAACTTACACAAGCAATTACACCTCGTTGACTTCTTTTTTTTTTTGATAATTGATTACACCTCGTTGACCTTAGCTTGTAAATCAGCTAATCTGATTTTCACAGGAATAAGGCAGTTTACCATATATGCATGAAAGTTCTTCCATGGAAGCATTGCTGGTCAAGCAAAATATATTTCATGTTACAACAATCTTCTTAACAAAATCATTTCTGTTTGCCTCTCTGTCTTTTTATAATCATGGGTGAAGATTAAAAGAAAGAAAAAATAAAAAAAACTACGTCCGAAGTGATGAAATTGAATCTATATAAGAACATTTAAATTTAAAGAGCTAATTGCAAATACCACCCCTGTGTTATCTCTAATTCGCAAATACCCCCTATGAAAAAACAAACTCACCAACACCCCCTTGTGTTAACAAAGTCAGGGCATTGAGACCCCTTTAGGCTAGGGATGGCAATGGGTACGGGTTTGGTGGGTCTTGGACCCGGAACCGACCCATTTGGGGCGGGTCTGGGTCAGCTAAATGGTTCTAGGTCGGGTAATGGGTTTAAGTTTCTAGAACCAGATGGTTCTGGGTCGGGTTACGGGTTTTATTGGAACCGACCAAGAACCGACCCGTATATATATATAAAAGTTCGGGTTTCATTTATCAAACTATCAATTTACATCTTGTCTATTCTCATTTACCTATTTTCACTGTTTTATTTTTCGAATCTCATTTCTCTTGAGTAATATTTATCACTTGTCGACCACCGCTAATTGTCTTGCATTTTGAATTATACTTATTATCGAAATTAAATATAGTTCATTGTAATTTTATTGTTCATGTTATGTCACTTGTAGAGATTTTTTAAAATATTGTATTTTAGTATTGAGATTATTTCGTAAAATTATACAAGCAAAATGTTATGACAGTTAAAAAAATATTAAACTTTTTGTATGTTAATGGGTCTAGCGGGTCTCGCGGGTCAGAACCATTTAGTTAGGGTCTGGGTTGGGGCGGGTCTGGGTCTAAGCTAAAGCGGGTTGGGGCGCGTCTCGGGTTTTTATATTTTTCGTGGGTCTGGTCTTGGGTTTAGGCAAACCCGGCCCAGAACCGACCCGATGTCATCCCTACTGGAGGCAAATGGTCACTCACTTGCGGGTTGTGCGATTGTTTATGGCATTTTTTGGGTGAAATGTCATAAATACCCCTTTATAAAATAAAAAATATTCTTATTGCTTAAATTATGAATAACCTAAACTTATAGGACCAAATTGTAATTTCTTGAAGCAAAATAATAATGTGAAAAATTTAATAAATCATTTAAATGAAAAGAAAAAAATAAAAGAAAAGAGAGGAAAGGTCATCGGCTTCCCCAACCCCAACAAGAAAACAATAAGTTCAGCACCACCACCTCCTCTTCCCCATACCAGATCCGAATCTGCACAATCCGAGGCTAACCCTGTCCCAGTTACAGCAACGCCTATCTACAACATGTCAAATGATTTCTCTCGACAACAGCGACTTGATTTTTTACAAATAAAAAATAGGTAATATCTATAAAATTATAATATACTTTATTAATTGCTGAAAAACCCCCTAAGATATTTTGTCACTTTACCTTCATTCAAAGCCTAAAATCACAAATGGTGCAGTGTGATTCGAAAATATTAATACAAGGGGGTGTTGGTTAGTTTTTTTTTTCGTAGGGAGATATTTGCCAATTCCAAATAACATAAGGGTAGTATTTGCAATAAATTCTAAATTTAAAAACCAAACATACTTTCACAACTTCTCTTGAAAAAACTTGGTTTCAATCTAGAGAAAAAACTCAATTGCACAGAACGCCCTGAGTAATCTCGAATTGTCGAAAAAGTACTCGTGTTAAAAACATTAATAAAAAAATCAATATGATTTTCTTTTACAAAGCACACGGTCCCTTATATCATAGGGTTTTGTGCATAAGTCTCTTACCAACCATATTTATTATTCTAGGTTCAGGGCTATATTTCTTTTGTCAATAAGCACATCCCTTTAATATGTATTATAAATAAGGGATTGTTTTAGAAACCCCCCTCATTTCGAAAATATATATAACTAACTACCATGTTGTTTACACCCTAGTGCAAACCCCCTCTATTTGGATAATAATTTGACATACCCCCTAGCCCACCTTGAAGTACCCAAAATACCCTTTTAAATCAGTTTTAAACCATAGCCCAATCCATATCGGTGTTTATCTTCCTCTCTCAATTCCCAGATCCAAATTCCGCCCTCCAAGGTCTCTAACCGGCGATTTTGCTTCTCGAAGTCATAACTCTCTCTCCGGTGGTCGGAATCTGATGGTTCAACTATCGTTGGATTCCTCTCGTCGAGCTCTTTCTTTTGGTTGGTATTTCATTCAGTTTGGAGTGCTAGATCTGTTTCTGCATTTTTTTAAGTCGACGTATTTCGACGACGGTGTTCTTACAAGAGGTATAATTTGTTTTTCGTCAGTCGAAATTTGACAGGCTACTCACTGTTGGATTCCTCTCCTCGGGAACAATATTTTGATGTCAATATCATTCATTTTTATATTTTCAGATCTATTTCTATATTTTTATATTTTATTTTATTTTTTATTTTCATTTTTATATTTTCAGATTTATTTCTCTGAATCTCTCAGTGTTTGTTGTTTTTTGAGGATGTTTCTTTATTTTTTGTTCATTTGCACTAAAATAATTTTTTTTTTTTGATTTTGCAATTGCAGCTTAATGAAGGCCATTGATCCTTTCTTTGAAGGCGTCCAAATTTTTGTTTGAAGTTACATCTGCTTTGTTCAACAGACTGTATACATTACTATAATAACATGTAGTTACATATGCATATATTTGTGTATTTTTTATTTGTATTTTATTGGTATTGAGGTGATTTATAATATAATTATTGAAATTTGTAAATTTTTGTTGTTGGAGTTTATAAATTTCTTTTGTATAAGCCAGTATTCGTGTGTGTGTGTGTGTGTGTATAATTGATTGACTAAAAATATGGGCTAAAAAATAGAACATAACTACGCATTACTATATTTACTACAGTTACATGTAGTTATTTTCAGTACAGTAAACATATTGATTTGAAAATTAAAAAAAAAATTAAAAATTAAAAAAATTAAAAAACTTAATTTTTTAATATATATATATATATATATATATATATATATATATATATATATATATATATATATATATATATATATATATATATATATATAAATTTAACAAACAAGTTTATTAAAAAATAATAATAACAATAATAATAATAATAATAATAATAATAATAATAATAATAATAATAATAATAATAATAATAATAATAATAATAAATCAGCGAAAATGATAAATGCAGGACCAGAAATGCTGAATGCAGTTTGGCCGAAAATTGCATATAAGGGTAGTATAGTACTTTCGCTTCTCTAGGGGGTATGTCAAAGTATAATTTCGGCTTGGGTTTATCCCTAGTTTATTTGGTGGCTAGGGTGTTATGTAAAATAACACCTATAAATAAAGGAAAAGTTAATGTATATGACAAAATTACCCCAACCCTTTACACACAATTCTTAATTGTAACCCCAATTTAATCAATTTTGACCCAAAAATCCAATTTTGATTTTCTTTTTCAGAAATTATTTTTTTGCCGCCGGTTTCCGTTGGTGACTTTTTTTTTTTTGCCAGTTTCCGGCGTTGACTTTTCAAAAAAAAATTCCTTTTTTTTTTCCCAAATTTCATTAACAATAATTATACTGTCACTAACAGTAAATTAACGTAATTATAATGTCATTGACAATGCATTAACGTTATTGGACTGCCGTTGACAATACATATATATAATTGTAATGCCGTTGACAGTACAACCAACGACAATATTATTATTTTTTTTGGTTCTTTTTTATTTATTTATTTATTTTTATTTTGTTTGATTTTTTGATAAGTCGATGTAATTATATTACTGTTGTTGATAGTAAAATAACTGTAAACACAACAATATTACTGTCAACCACATCGATATTTTTTTTTCTTTGGGTTTTTGTTTTGTTTGAGTTATTGACGGAGTAACGTAATAATATTATGGTCTATTATTGTAATATTACTGTAAACACAATATTATTATTGTGGTTGACGGTAATATTACTGTTGTTACAATAATATTACTGTCAACCACAGTAATATTAATTTTTGTGGCTTTTTATTATGTATTACTTTTGTTGAACGGTCAACATATTAATATTACTCTATTACACAATAATAATGACTTTTGTTGTGTTAATATTATTGTGCTAGAGATTAATATAACAATATTACTGTGTTAAACTGTAGTATAATTTATTTACTGTGTTTAACAATAATATTGTCATATTACTGTCAACCACAACAATATTGCTTTTTAAACATGGGCAAAAAATCGAAAAAGCCAACGCCGGAAATTGGTGGCGGAAAAATCAGGAAGAAAAAAAAAAAGTCAACAGCGGTGACGGACGGAATTGTCTATAAAATTGTGTTTTGGGTCAAAATTGAATAATTTGTGAAATTTGGGGTCAAATTGAGGTTAGATTATATTGAAGGATGAAATTGGAGCATATGAAAATGTGAGGGGCTACTTTAGTCTTTTACAAACATTTGGACTATGTGTGGACATTTTTGTAAAAGAGTTTATTATCTGGACCATTTATGAATAAGTACTCATTGGTGGGCTTTTTGTAAAGTGCCCTATATCATATTTGGTTGTTGACTTAGGTAAAAAGACA